GCTCAGGACAATAAACAAATTGATCCAGTGCTCGACAAGTCTTCTTCCTTAACCTATCATTGTTTCGCAAGTCCAACTAACTTGATTATTGATATACTGAGCTGGTAGGTTGTAATACACCTTACAAACGTGTCAAAAAACATAACTGAACTGTTTACGAATATAAATGAATATTGCAATAGATATGGCGAATGAATTAGAACCCAGGTAATGCACTAATGCCATTTGGAATCGAAATAAAAGGAAAAACAAATAGTGTAAAAAGAGGATTTACAAGAATAATTTGCGTAAATCTTCAGAACAGGATGCGAAAATAAAAAGTAAAGCAGGTTACACGGGCAGCATTACACACTGGCTATAGCGTAGGAAGTAACCCGTAGCGAGAAGGAAAAGTTGTGAGATGCAATTGGAACCTGAGTTCTCTGAGTCACAGGGGAAGCGGCGCTTGTGATGGAGCAAAGCTCTCTCAGCACGGTCAGCTCGTCCGACCGGAACGCTGCGAATCTGAAGCCAAGTTTCTTGTTTGCATGATGGACATACGTTCCAAAAAACTGTAATTAGTCATGGTGGGAAATTTGATACAATAAGGGGGCTGTCATTGGACGATTAGAAAGCACTTAGGTGTGGATCCGTCGACTTTGTCGCTTTGGGAGATCCATCAGCACGGGGTGAAGATGGCTCTCTGGGCACTCGAAACTTGTTAAAACGTATGAGCAGCATGAGGAAAGGCAGGGCGACTAGTACCATCATGGTACAGAACACAATTGTTGGTTTACCTTCCAAACTTCCGCCAACATAGGGTCCGAGGAGGAAGGCCACATTTATAATTGTGCGGAGAATTGTCTGCGCCTTGTCCAACTGCTGAGGGGGAATGAACTTTGTGTAGAGTGACTCCGTTATCGCCAACGGGAAAGGCATTCCAATCACATGAATAGCCACACCGACCACGACGAGAGTGGCTCCCAAGGTTTTCGACATGGACAGAATGTTGTGCAGAACAAAGGACAAAAACGCATAGGCAACCGTCAAAAAGAAGAGACCCAAAAGAACAAGACTTCGGTCTTCCATACACCTGGACATAAGGTGCATCAGACCAGAGACGATGATAACAAGCAC